CTCCGTCTTGCTTGCTAAGCAAGGTGTTCCTTATAGATCAGAGCTAAGATGTCTTTTCTATTCCAAAAGGTATTTATTGGGCATTTACCATGCACTGAACCCAGACCTAAGGAATTTAAAAATAGAGTAGGTCATTTTCCTATCCCCAAGACGTTCATGATGTCAAGGATGTGCTGTGGCTTGAAGCCCCCGTCAGCTTTGCACATTTTCTGTGGAAGCATGAAATGCCACATGGGCCAGGGTGATGGTTCTTACTCAGACCTGCTCAGAGTCAGGCTTCTGGACCTAGTGCCCTGTCGGTCCTTTATTCTGGGCAGTAGTAGGCCGAAGTCTCCGGTGGGTTTTGTAAGATGTAAAACAAGAGACGTCACCTTGTTTCATTTCAGTAAACACAACTTTTTTTGAGTTGATAGTGGTTCCTCTTTCCAGAGCCCTTCCCTGGTACGTTTAACATGTGAAGTGCTGAGCCTCTGCATGCAAAGATGAAGGCATATGAATCAAGGAGATTGTGCCTCTGTGGCAGATGTAATTTTCAGAAATTATGACTATTTTATATGTCTTGAGGGCTGGTATATTTGCATCTAAAAGATAAATGCACCTACTCTGGAAAAAAAAAATTGGTAAACCTGGCAGCCTGCCATTCCCTGGAAGGCCTGAGAGTTGCCCATCCCTGCGGGATCCCTGCAGGTGTACCCCGTAAATAGTGCCGCTATCTTTTGGCAAAAAAAGCACGCTGCCTTCTGCAGCAAGAATTATCATACTTTCCAAAGAGATCATAAAACAAGTGGAAGGCCAACACCACAGGTGAGGAATTTCTGACCAGGCCTACCATCTGGGGAAAAAAAAAGGATAAAGATAATGTGCTCTGTCTGGGGAGGAATGTTTTTGAGCTACCCTTGAATTTGAGGAGTGTGTACCAGATACCTAATGTATGTGTGGAATTTTCTTAGTGTCAAGTATAAAAACATCCAAGTCGAAGGAAAGCAAATCCTAACAGCTGTATCCTGAACGCAGCAGGCACGTGGGTCTCAGATTCCTTTGAGATCCTCAGCAAAGGGGGAAAATACGTGCAGACACAAAATTTTGCAAATAACCCGAAGAAGCTTACGGGTCACCCCTCCCCCCACGAAGAGCTCTGCTCTATGTGATGGTGCTGGAGAAAGTACCAGAATGGGGGAGTCTGACTCCTACAATTTTCCCCTTCGAGAGCAAAATACAGGCTCTGCGGTAACCTTGTTCTGCAACCAAGACGGCAGCGAAAGCCTACTCAGCAGAGTCTCAGCCGATGATTTTCAGTTCAGAGTCTCCGTGAAATGATTCTGAATGTAAAACAACTTTCAGATACTGTAGTTAGTCATTTGCTTTCTCATTATCCTAATGTCTTTTGGTTGTGAAAGATAAAACAGTCGTGTTAACACAAACCTGTCCACTGCAGGGTAGATAGAGACCGATCTGGGTACTTAGGGCAAAACAGGATAGGCGAATAGATTATAAAGTGAGCTCTGGGACATAGGAGGCATTTTTATTTAGTGTTTTCCTCATTCGACGGGTAAGACCCCAGCAGCCCTGGAGAATTTTGATGGAATCAGGCTGTGCTGTTTTAGTTAAAAGTGGAAATGAAAAGTCACAAATCCATATGGAAACAATATTCTTACGGCTTCTTTCCCACTACTGTTCAGCTGTAGCAGGCTAGGATAAACCATGTGGGAACGTCCTAGGGATGCTGTGTGCCAGGCAGTGTGTGAAGAGGATCCTTACACATGGTCTCTGAGCCTCATTTGTATGACGGCAGTGAGGTCACATTCCCTACGGCGCTGTTTTGAAGAATGGGGAAACCATAAACACAAACCTCATCCTTGGGTTTGCTATTCATTCAGTTGTTTTTAAGTTGTCTGTCATCCGCTTGCTCTTTTACTCAGAGAAACCTTTGTGATTCACAGATAAGGGAATTCTCAATTCCTCTGTAGTCTCTATTATCGGCATCCCTTTATTCTGGGAGTTAGAAATCAGGCTAGGGATTTGCGACCCTCTGCAGAGACAAAGCATTTCTTTCAAAATTAGATCATCTGAAACCAAACAGTTCCCTGATTTTGTCAGATCCAAAATCAAAAGGCCTAAGCGCCTTTATGACCTGGGCCTACCACCTCTGACTGTCTACCCGCCTCCCTCGCCTGCCCCCAGAACACGCCAGTCATGCTGGCCACCTTCTGAGCTCCCCAGCAAGGCACACTTCCTCCCATCTTGGGCCTGAGGTGTCTTTTCCCTCGATTCTTTGCTTAGATGCTTGCTTCTCATCCTGGGTTCACCACGTACGTGAAGTAGCTCCTCCGATTCAAGCACATCTCTTACATGTCCTTACCTGAGGATCAGGACTATCTGAAATTACATTTTTCCCATACTGCCTATCTTCTTCCAAAATTCACACTTCATGAGAGCAAAGACCTTGTTGAAGATCCAGTAATAACAACGTCTTTCTATGCGTTGCACGTCAATAACGACATACTAAAGGGATGGGCTTGTGTCTCATAGAGATTACATGAGGAAAACCAGGGGTTCTGGCTTGTGATCCCTGTTTGGAAATTTGTTCATCACAGTGAATACTTACCTAGTGAGGAGCAGAAAAAGGCAAACATAGCTAATTAGATAGTGCTTCACATATATTAACTAATTTAATCCACTTATGAGGTAAGTGTGATTATTATTACTTCCGTTTCATCGATGTTGTGGTATTGGGAGGTTAAGGAACTTGCAGCAGGTATTCCAGGTATACGCTCAAATGCTGAGCCAGTGCTCTTTACTACCAGACAGAAAGTGCCCATGTGCCCAGCATTCGGTTGAGTGCGTCATACACATGACGTCATTTAGTCCATGTTTCTGCACCCTGAGGTAGGGACTGTTGTTATGCCTCTTCTACAGATGGGCAAGCTGAGGATTAGAAGGCTTAAGCAACTTGCCTGAGGTCCCATATTTGCTTAGTGATAGAAAAGGGACTCCATGTAGACAATATGATTCTGAGGCCTATAATCCTTGGCATCATCTCCGTTATACTGGAATGTGGATTGCTATTGAAACACAGTGAATCTGAGGTTCTTGAAAGAGGAATTAGTCTCCCCTGCTCAAAGATTCTCCCCTGGTGTAGTCAGGGGTCTTCATTCCTTGGCTCCAGATTCACCTTGAACATGGAACAGTATGATTCAGAGAAATGACTGGGAGAAGCAGAATTTGCACCAGTATAATGACTTGTCTGGAAGGAATAACACAGCCGTAAGAAATGTCCGTTTCTTCAGAAAGAGCATAAGAACAGAATTTAGAAATCTGATAACTCTGAAAGGTCAACTTTGGTTTCTAAAATGAACCAGGGCAAAATTTTATATACATATGTGTGTGTGTGTATAAAGTCTCATATAATATATATGCAAACAATAGGTCTCGTTCTGTCCTGAGCTGAGATGCGGTGTATAAAGCTTAGCACTATTGATTTTTGAAACTTACTGGGTTTCCCTTTATACCAAGAACCTCTTTAGAGACTCAGTTCTGTCAGTGGCAGGAGCCACCTGTAGGGATGGGGGTGCCGTGGCCGTACTTCGTCTGGTGTCCAGTTCCTTCTCCGTAGGTTGGTTTTGCGTGTCTGGCTAACAATGCCCATCTACTCACAACACAAGAGGAGGAGGAGGTAAAATCCCTAGATTCCACGCATTATTACCCTGGCTTCAAACAAAATATCCATGTGAAGGATTATGCTCATATGTGCAGAGATCAAACTTTTCTTCTCTGAAAAATTATCTAAACCTCCTGAGACTAGCTGATTCAGCAGGAAGAAAATGAGTTCAGGCAGTATTATTGAACTCTGAGATTCTAGCATTTTCACAGACTTGTACTACAAGTGCTGTTACCTGCACAGTCCTCGGAGTCTAGCTGAGCCTGTATTTGATGCTCACAATGACCCAAACGTGTGGGCGGAATGGGTGTTATTAAGCCACTTTACAGATGAGGAAATTGAGGTTAATAGAGCTTAAAGAGCTTGCCCAAGGTCAGGAAGCTAATAAACAGCAGAGCCAACATCTGAACCAAAGTCTTTGGACTCCAAGTTACATTCTTTGCTGCTGCCTACACCTCTCCCTCGCCCAAGAGAGCCTGTTTGTGCTGACACTGTAGGTTCTTAGCATCTCCGATTTTCTTACCACCAGGTTGCTTCTAGAGGGTACAGCCCCTGGGACTTGGGATGTGCCATCTTACTCTGGGCTCTGTGGACGGCTGTTGTTTCGTTGGGCATCAGACCGTCCGCTTTGTCTTTGAAAGCGGCGAGTAGTGTCCGTGGGCCAGGACTGACATTGGCTTTGAGCTTTTCAGGCAACTTTTATTCTGTTTCCTTGAGACCCTCCTGGTAGCTTCTTACACCGCATGTGACAGACACAGGTGGGCCTGGCATTCGGCCCGTGACTCAGTTCTCTTCTCCAGGTCTCTGGAGCTCTGGGATCCAGCAGAGACTCGATTTCCCATGTTCATTGATCTTCCACACACTGTCCTTCCCACCGCTCCGCCTCTTGAGGTTGCTTCCAGGCGTTGAAAACGTTGCGAACATTGAGTTTCTCAAAAGCAAGTGTTTACTCTGGGAGTGGAACACAAAGAGGTGGACATGCCCGTGAAGCCTGGTGGTTTAGAGAGTGGGTGACTCAGCACCGATTCCCCGGACGGCCTCTGGCAGTGGGGGGACGGGGCGCAGCGCTGCCCATGCTGCCGCTTGTCCCCCCGGGCCTGCAAGGCCTCCGGTGCCGGCTCCATGCTGCGGGAGCTGCAGGGGCCTGCACAGTAGAGGGCAGCCATGGCTCGACTCTCACCTGCAGGGGAAGAAGGCAGTTCGCTCCCAGGTGCAGGTGCGCCCGGAACAAGTAGCTGGGGGAATGTATTTGAATAATCGGGCTTTCCACAGGGAAGCAAAACCTACTTCTCCTGATGTGCAAGATGCAAATAAACGCGACCCGTCTCTCTGTCCATTGTAGAGATGTGAATCTCGGGCTATCCGACAGCCAAGGTCACAATGCTGCCCCTCCGTCACGCTCTGGCCGTAGCTGTTGTCCACATCTTTATCTTATCAGAAAGCTGGGCTTTGGCCAAGAACATCAACTTCTACAACGTGAGGCCGCCTCTTGACCGTAAGTACTGTTTGCATCATAGCTTATGACTGTGGGGTCAGGGTGACCATGCAGAGTCCCTCTTAACACCTATGGTGGTAACTTGGCGTGTTCTGGAACCTTCGGTTTATACCTAGAATAAACCAGAAAGTCTTCACTGCTTCCATGAGGGAGGAGGGGTAATTCGTGGTGACAGAAGTTTTCTTCATTTCTTTAAAATGGTTTGGCTTTCTGCCAAAGTCTCAAAGGGGTTCTTATTTAAAATATCTCTTGAACGCTGTTCCTATGAATGGCGTAGCAGAGGAAATTCAGTGTTCTTTGTTGATCTCTTTGTTGGAGAGGATATTAGCTGTAGGAAGTTTCTCCATAGATGATAAATTCTTTCAAATAGTCCTTAATAACTTAGGAACAGATTAGTTGGTTTGAAATTTGGAAGGAAATACTACTTGGATTTTCACTAATATTACGCACAGTCACAATTAGAACACTAAACTTTCCTACTAATTATTTTAAAATAAGCAAAACACCTGGGGGGCTCAGTGGTTGAGCATCTGTCCTCGGCTGAGGGCATGATCCCGGGGTCCTAGGATCGAGTCCTGTATCAGCCTCCCCCTTAGGGAGCCTGCTTCTCCCTCTGCCTATGTCTCTGCCTCTCTCATGAATAGAAAATAAAAAATAGAATAAAAATAAGCAAATATCAGTTAATATTATTTATAGGATAACATAAATGTATTTTTTTAAAAAAAGATTTTATTTAAGAGAGAACAAGAGCACACGAGCAGGAATAGGGGCAGAGGGAGAAGAGGATCTCAAGTAGGCTCTGTGCCTACAAACATACATGTGTAAATATGAGCTTGTATACATACGTCATCTCTCCTTTCTCTTCGGACAAGTACAACTTCTCTGATGTACTTTATTAGAGAAAGGTTGTTATAGCTAGCAATTGTTAGAAATAGGAATGCCTGTGGTTCCCACACCTGGAAGAGTACAGAATCATGATAAAAGCCTTTAAAACTACATATTTCTCAGTCCCTTCTGCAGAGATTCAGTAGTCAGAAGTGTGGGATGCAGATGAGTTATTTTTTTCTTTCTCTCCCCAACCCCCTGTTCTTTAAAAAAAAAAAAAAACTTTCCTGATACTATTGATGCATAGCTGGGTTTAGGAACCACTCTATTTATGTTTATACTACCTTTTTTTAAACATTTATTTATTTATTTTAGAGAGAGACCTTGTGCAGGCAGGGGGAGGGGCAGAGAGAGAGGGAGAAGGAGAGAATCTCAAGCTGACTCCCCACTCAGTGTGGAGCCCAAATCAGGACTTGATCCCATGACCCTGAGATCAGGACCTGAGTTGAAAACAAGAGTCGGATGCTTAACCGACTGACCCACTCAGGTGCCCCTACACTACTAATAAATGAAGCGTGTATTATTACTGTTCTTCACATTGTGCTTTTTTTTTAGTATTATTTAGGACATTGTGTGTGCGTGTCAATACACATGTATATCACACATACACATATACAGAGGTGTATACCACACACACCTTGAGCTATCATTTATTGTACATTTCTAAATGAATGATGATTATATACTAATAGCCCAATGACATGGCACAGTTTTCATAAAGTGTAAATTATAGATTTTCGACTTTTTAAGCCTAATACAATTTTATGATGAGAAAAATACATCATTTTAACCAATGGAAAAAAAAAAGAATATATGACCACTGTGTGGTCAGGTTACTAGGATGGTTTGGTCTTTATCCGTTTTATCCTCCAAAATGGAAGAAGTAAAAGTTTTACACAAGGCTTTATATCATGGCTTATAAAGAAATGTCACATTTATTATACTTTTGACTTCTTGCCCATTAAAATAATAAGATACAAGGTAGGGGGGAAAAAGCATAAAGACAAAAAGGCCGTTCTAGTTGCTTTCAATCCAGATTGCCAGCAGTCATAATTCCTACTTTTTGTAACACTCTAGATGAGGCATAAGAGCCTGAGAATTACTATCATCCTTATATTAAATGGTACATTCCTGATTAAGGTCTAATTGACATATACCAAGTGAGGCTGCTTGATTGAGGTTGGATGTGGCTGTAATGGAAGTGCATGTGGATGGGAATTAGCATGATTTAATGGGCCAAGGACTCTACAAGATATTTTTATTGTAATCTCTTTTTTATTTATTTTTAATTTTTAAAAATACTTTTATTTATGAGAGAGAGAGAGAGAAGACATGAGTAGCTGGAGGGGTGGAGGGAGAAATAGGCTCCCTGCTGTACAGGAAGCTTGACATGGGCTCTATCCCAGGACCCTGGGATCATGACCTGAGTCAAAGGCAGATCCTAAACCAACTGAGCCACCCAGGCACCCCAACAACCTCATCTAACCTTCACGGTTCTTCTGCACATCATGGGTATTTTCATTGTCTTAAATATTGTTATTTCTCGGAAGTGAAAAATCCCACAACTACTTAGCAGGGAGAGCAGAATCCAAGCTCACGTTAATCTGACTCTAGTTCTTCTCAGGGGCCTCGCTATACCAAGTTATTGGTTCCGATACTGCCACCACCCTTGCCCGTTCTCGCAACTCCCACTTATTCCCAAGTTATCAATTATAAGGGAACGGTATTTCAAAGTGGCTCGTGGAATCATTTTCGTTACTCTACGGTACGTAAGCCCAGACAAAATATTTAAAGAAAAGGGAATAAAGAATATGCCCTGAAGTCAGGCAGTTCAGTCCAGCACCCTAGCAACCGAAATTCTAAGGAGGGTGGCTTGTAAATTTTGTTTGATCTAACACAAGTTGCTAATTTTGTGCCATCTTTGACGTCTGAAATTTCTGTCCTTTTTCACCTTTCTGTTTCCCTGTGCATTTTTCTTTAAAGCTACACCATTTCCAAACAGCTTCAAGTGTTTTACCTGTGAAAATGCGGGAGATAATTATAACTGCAATCGATGGGCAGAAGACAAATGGTGTCCACAAAGTAAGTGTGCTGAGTTTGGAAGAGGCTCTTGTGATCATACCTCATTAACTGGCCCTGAGCAGACCTGTCTTCTAGAATGGGATTAGCATATCCACAGGCTGATGAGGGTCTGCATAAATCATCACTTTTAGGAGACTGTGCAGATATTAGACTATTCTGAGTGTTTGGAAACTGATGGCATAGCCCCAGTTTGTCAATATGTGTACCTCCAGGGAAGATGCCTTAAATAGTACTTATCGATAAATACAGAACAAATAGGCCACAGTATTGTCTAAGGCATTCTAAGAATTTCAGAAATGCTTGATGATACCTCTAGAAAAGTCATACCAGCTAAAGCGAAGAAAGTCTTTTATATCCTTGAGATACATTGATGCTTTGGTAACTCATTCATTCATCTGGCAAACATTTGAGTGTCTTTTTAGTTTGCTTAGTTTGCTGACACATTCCTAGTGCCTAATCCAGTGCCTGACCCATCCTAAGCATCCAGTAAATATTTACTGATGGAATGAATGTATCCCTTTGATTAGGTAGCCAGGGAAATCTCTGAGGAACTAAGATTGACTGACCAAGACAAGCCAGCCACGTGGAAACCTGTAGAAAGAACATGCCAGGAAGAGGGAAGCGTGAATACAAAGTGTAAGAGGCAAGATTTGGCCTCTCACTCAATAGGAAGAGGACTGGCCAGTGAGGCTTAGTGGAAGATAGAGAAAGGATCTCATGGAACTAAGGACCAGGGCACACAGGATCTTCTTTCTCTGATAGAATTTAAATTTCATTATAAATGTGATGGGAAGGCAGTAGAAGTTTGGGCACTAGGGGAGTAGAGGATGCTCGCTGTGTTCTGATTGGGTGCTATGTGGAGAGTGGGTGGTTGGGGACAGGAGTAGAAGGGGGCACCAGGTGGGGTCTTTCATTGTCTTCAGGCAGAAGATGGCAACTGGGACTAGGATGGTGGGAATAGAGGGACAAGAAGTTGAATGATTTAATATATACAAACTTGATGATAAAGCAGACAGGAGGTGCTGATGGGGGATTTGGAATTGGAGAAAACTACTTAAGACTTAAAACTGCTTTAAGAAGATTAGGCTGTTTCAGATTGTTAGGAAGTACTCTTTTTTGTTTTTGTTTTGTTTTGTTTTTAAGGTTTTTCAGACCTAAAAGGCCAATTAAAAGTAAACCAACCATCTCTTCCTGAGTTCAGGATTACCAGCTTTGGTCTACTATTACCTTTTGACTCTTTTGAAAATCTCTGCATCCTATTATACAAAGCAATGAGATAGCCTTACCTCTTCCAGATAAAGCCAGTATGTGGCACCAATAAATAGGAATAGTACACACTGCAGACCTCTGTGGGGCCTGAGGGTCTTGCTGTAAATGAGCACAAATGGTTGTGACATCTACCTGAACAGTATTTGTCATGGTTTCTTTTAAAACATTAATTATCATAATATTTTCCTGCCATTCCTCTACATTTCTGTAGAGTGACCTCAAGTCGTGTACGTGCTTGTGAGTACACGTGTGTGTGTTATGCCTTTGGAGATTGGTTTCTACACCCTGCACAGAAGCGTATCTTAGTTATTTCAGAGTTGTCACAGTTGACCAGTGCTTTCTACCACTTCAGAGGGTGGGTATCACTCTCCAGCTATTTGCTTTAAACCCCTGAAGAACTGGGTGCTAAGGGTTCAAACAGTAGTTAACTGGGTGGTAAGGGTTCAAACAGTAGTTAACTGGGGGCGCTCATGTCCAACTTCCGGTGCTTCATCTCCGCGGACTCTATTATTTTGAATCGAACCAAAGCACTGTTGCTGCTGGGTCTGTGCATAACGCTCCAAACTGTCATTTATTATTAATCAAAGGCGTTTTTAATGGGAACACATATGGATATTTCTGGGCTTTAGGGTTTCACCTCTGCTGAAACATGTGAACAAAAGAGGAAGGCTGCAGCTTTCTACCATCGAGGAAGTGTCAGAGATGGGAAGGGCGAGGCAGGTGGGTCCTTCCAATCCACCCTGGAAACCTGGCTCTTAAAAAGATTGCCGTGGAATAACCCACATTCCAGGGTGCATGGTGGCACATTCTGGACTGCTCCATTCGAGCCCCAAAGATCCTAACCATCTGGAGTTCTGACTGAGGGTGTAATTTCAAACCATTGGCCATTATTTAGGGGAGGGAGAGCCAACCATCTCTTGGAGCAAACAGGCCCACAGCTATTGCTCCTTGTCACCTCAGGTTTCGTTGACACCTTTGGGCTTTCCCTCCATGGTCAGAGTTGTTGAGAGCAGTTCCCTGTGTAACAGGATATGACAAGAATGACATTTCTTGTTTTATTTACCCCGGCTTCTGTTCTGACTTTCTAGGGCTGCTTTAGTACCGGTGACATTTTCTATGAACACAACCGTCTACCACTTTTCAGCTCTTTGTTTGAGGTAGAAGGTGAAGAGCTTTCCCCAAAACATTGCTGCGGTTCCCTTTCCTTCCAAAGGCAGAAGTCAGCTACCCTTGCAGGGTGTGCCACAGCGTCGCGGGGCTCAATGCTAAGCACTGAGAGGCAGGGTAGTGCTTCTGGGGAAGAGCACAACCCCCAGAAAACTGCCCAGGTTAGAACCCGGCCTTCCACCACCTTCTACCCAACGTAGCTGTGGCCAAGAAACCGCGCTTGGCCTTTCTCTCTGTGAAATGATACTGATAGGCCTTGTCTTAAGGCTTCTTGTGAGGACCGGGGAGCGAAGAGAGGCTGGAGGGCCCAGCTGGTGGCGCCCACTCCGTATGACATGTTAATATTATTTGAAGCTTCCAACAATCCTATCAAAATGTCGAGACACATGTTAACATCATTTTAGTCAAAAGTAAGTGAGCTTGAAGGCTCTAATGGGCTCACTGGGGACGAGGCAGTTCTGTGAAGCCAAGCGTTCTCCGTATTAGTCAAGCCCCCCCCCACACCAAATTCTATGACATTGCGGCTATAGTCCATTCCCCGTGAACTGAGGAGCATTGCACTGGCCTGAGACGAGCGAAGAGATGCAAAACTGAAGCAGAAGGGCCTTGGATATTGAAAAAAGTCGTTCTTTAAAAGTAGTAAACCATGAGTGCTCACAGCCGTAAGGAGAACTGTAGAAATGAGCTCGCCGCGTGGCAGGGAGGGGTCGGAGAGGGGAAGAGTCGAGAAAGAGGAGGAAAATGGGAATACTCAGGAAAAGCCCCACAGGCCGGGAGGATTAGAGCGTGGGTAAGAACCGGGCGAGTCGGGAAAGTGATGCTCTACGTTGGAGCACCTCTTTGCATTCCATTCCACCACCTGCCTCTGCGTCCATACGAACCAAATGCCAAATAACACACCATGAGGTGTTCTAACCCACCGCACTTCACATTTACACCTTTCATTTCATGGAGTCATAGACCCTGTGCCTCGTAGGGTGAGACAGAGATACGGGTACTTTCATGTGACCTAAGGTCAGCTTTAGAGGGCACCTCAGAGCAGTATCCACGCCTGCCACCAGACCTCGTGCCTAGAAACCCAAGGATGGTCCCGAGGCTGAGTCCTCTCTGAAGTGATTGTTGGTGTCTCTCTTGCGATGTGAAATGTGAAGCTGCCTTTTTCCCCTGCCTAGATACACAGTACTGCCTGACAGTTCACCACTTTACCAGTCACGGAAGAAGTACATCTATCACCAAAAAATGTGCCTCCAGAAGTGAATGTCATTCTGTTGGCTGCCACCACAGCCGAGACTCTGAACATACAGTAAGGAGTGTGTGTGTGTGTGTGTGTGTGTGTGTGTGTGTGTGTGTGTAAAGTTACTGTCCTAAGGTTAGTTACACACTATGGAAAGGCAGGAAGGATGAGCGGGGTCGTATACATGCTTATTTGCCCTTTGGGGAAAGACTCTGTGCCAGTGATGCGATGGAGACCACAGAGAAGTTGAAGACTTTCTGTCTTTCAACAAAAAATAACACTACTAAGGATGAATGGTAACTCCCAGACCACACAGCTCCACCCTAGACCTCGGGCTTGGGATCACGTGGAGCCTGGTCTGGAAGCCCAAGAGCAAACAATCCCTATGACAATGACAAGCACTACAAAGCCGGGCTCAGTATTTCAGTTAAGGCCAGGCATCAGCGGGCACACAGCCCAGGGAAGCCGGGAGGTGGGAAGAGGGCACCAGGGACCCATTTTACTGAGGAGTCCTGGTCTTGCCCCCCACCGCTGCTTCCATGAGGAAGTGAGAATCTGAAAGAATTAATCTGTTTAGTCTGATGAGCTGTAGACAGATTCTTAGGTCAACTGATCTTAATTTTCTCATTCTAAATGAGCAATTTTCCTCTTTCATATGCCTGGAATTCTGAAATGTTTGCAAAAAGCTTGAAGAGTGTGTTGCTTTCATGAGGTTTTTAGGGGTTGATTTCATTTATTTGCACGAAAACATGGTTGTGACAGCAGTGGTCTTCAGCCGGGCCTGCGGGAGGGTGGCTGGGAGCTCCTGGCCTGGGGGTGGGGCCCCATCAGAGGAAGCGCGGCTGCAGGGTGGGGTCCTGCCCATCGTCTTTCCCCCTTCGAGACCCCGAGCAGCCAGGGGGAGAGCCACCCGGGAGGCCCCGGGGGTGGCCAGCGAGGTCACTGGGTCCCGCCTTCCGGGGATGCGGATGGAGGCTGCGGCCTGGAGCAAGGCCCTGCAGGCTGGCACTGACCCAGCAGTGGCCCGGGAGCCAGCGGGGCATCCCCAGGCTTCCCAGACCCACGGCTCCGTGTGTGTCCTTACGGACTGGGGGTCCTTGGCTGCATCCCCGGCCTTCCTCTGCCCCTTGGCCCCTCGCTCCTGCCTGTTGCCAAGTCGCCCCTGCCCGCGGGGCAGGGTGTCGGGGGTCGGGGGGTTGGGCTGGGGGCTCAGGGGGCTCGGGGAGTCGGGGGGTCGGGCTGGGGGGTCAGGGGGCTGGGGGGCTGGAGGGGGCTGGGGGGTTGGGGGGCAGTGGCTTGGGGGTTGGGGGGTCGGGAGGTCGGGGGGTTGGGCTGGGGGGTCAGGGGGCTCGGGGAGTGGGGGGTCGGGGGGTTGGGCTGGGGGGTCAGGGGGCTCGGGGAGTCGGGGGGTTGGGGGACTGGAGGGGGGTTTGGGTGACGGGGTGTCGGGAGGCCTGGAGGCTTGGGGGGTTGGAAGGTCGGGGGGCCGAGGGGACGCGGGGTTGGGGGTCCGGGGTCCAGGGTACCGGGAGGCCAGGGGCTTGGGGGGTGGGGGGGCTGGAGGGGGCCAGAGGGGGCCGGGGACCGGGGACTCGGGAGGTCAGGGGCTGGGGGGGTCGGGAGGGGGGCAGGCCGGTCCGCAGTCCCGCGGAGCAGCGGGCGTTGGGGGACCCGGCCCCATCACTCACCCCGTCCCGCCCTCTGTGTCAGGAGTGCAGGTCTTGCTGCGAAGGGATGATCTGTAACGTGGAGCTGCCCACCAACCACTCCAACGCGGTCCTGGCCGTGACGCGCGCCCCGGGGACGTCGGGGGGACCCGCGTCCGGCCTGCAGGTGCCCGGCCTGCCCGCGCTCACCTGGGCCTTGGTGCTGCTGCTCCTGTGAGCCCCCCGGAGACCCCTCGGAGCATCCCGGAGCCCCTTGGAGCACCCCGGAACCCCCCTCAGAGACCTCCCGGAGCATCCCGGAACCCCCTCAGAGACCTCCCGGAGCATCCCGGAGCCCCCCAGAGCTGCCCGGAGCCCCTTGGAGCCCCCCGGAACCCCCCGGAGCTGCCCGGAGCCCCCCGGAGCCTTCCGGAGCTGCCCGGAGCCCCCCGGAGACCCCCCGGAGCATCCCGGAGCCCCTTGGGCACCCCGGAACCCCCTGGAGCCACCTGGAACCCCCCCGGAGCACCTCGGAGCTGCCTGGAGCCCCCGGAGCCCCCTAGAGCCGCCCAGAGCCCCCCAGAGCCCCTCCGCAGACCGTGTGGACGCCGCTCCTGGGCGCGGCGACCCGCCTGGCGCTCGGCGGAGGAGCGGAGCCCAGAGCCTGGAGTTCGGACCCCGGGGCAGGAGCAGCCGTTCGCTGGGCCGAGACGCTTCTGCTCCAGCCACAGGGTTGAGGACGGGACGTGGGAAGGAAGGAATGCGCGGGGCTCGTGTGGCTTCTGGGCCCAAGGGGCTGCGTGGTGTCGCCTCTGCGAGGAGGAACCTGGTGGCACCTGCAGCAGGTGCGGGGGTGAGGTAGCTGAACATACACCTTGACCTCGAGACTCTTTGGCAGCTGCGGGGTCAGACCCTCAACCGTCTGCAAGGAGGGGCCTGGTGGCACCTGCAGCAGGTGAGGGGGGCGGCCTGCGCCCAGGCCTGCCCAGGCCCCTAGCTGAAGGCACACCTTGACCTCGGGGCTCTTCAGCAGCTGCGGAGTCAGACCCTCGCCTCTGCGTGTGATCAGCTCAGTGTGTGTCTCTGAAATCTCCCCCTTCCCCTGGGACAGAGCAAGCTCCCCACCAACGACCTAGTCCGAGTTAAAGGGAACTAACTATGGGAAAGAAACTTCCAGCTGAATGAATAGGAAACTTACCTGCTCATATGGGGGGAAATAAAGCTTTTAAATTATACAACGTAGAGGCAATGCTTGTGTGTTCCTTGACTGACCTAGCGACCTTGAATAAAACATTTATTCAGAAAAGTGTCATAAAGGAGGTCACTGAAGTTATGCTTCCACGCACCGTGGGTGATATGGGTGATACATTCTGGCTGAAATGATAAAATCCCATGCTAGAGTGACCTTGATTTTTTTCTTTTTGGGGAAGGAGGCGTCTAAGGATGCTCAATGTCAATTAGTGAACAGAGCAGGTCAGGAAGACTTCCTGATGCAGGAGGAGGACCCCTCATCGTATGATGCACCCTCCTCAGTAGCAGCTTAACATCAAAGAAACTGGCAATAGGGCCTCTTCCCTCTGGGGTCAACTTTTCTCTAGATGTCAGGGCACCAAGAGAACTTCTCTAAAAATGTGCTAAAGTGTTTGGTCCCTTTGTCTTTCCCTTTTGTAACAGTCTCAGCAATTTCTTTCTGTTTCTAGAATCCTGATTTCCTGCCTTTATAGTTGCAGTGACCTTAAACACTCTGCCCTTGTATATATGGTGATGAGCTAATGGATGTTTTTGTTTTTGTTTTGTTTTGAGCTGAGCATCCACCATCAGAACACTGAGTGCTCCGTAGAATCTGTTAATGATGCTGTCCTTGCCACATGGTCTTGTCTCTGGTCAGCAAACTATGGTCCATGAACCAAACATATCCTACCACTTTTAGTCTGCTGGTTTTCTGTAACAAATACACTATTGATTGTGTGGCTTAAAAACATTTAATCCTTACAGTTCTGGGGGCTGAGATCGGTGAGGGCCTGGTTTGCAGACCACCACCTACTTGTATTCACATAGGGCAGAGAGACACTGGTCTCTTAGCCCCCTTATCAGGCTCTAACCCCATTCATGAGGACTCCACGTTCATGACCTAATGAACTACCAAAGACCTCACATCCAAATACCATCCCATTGGAAATTGAAGCTCCAACATATGAATTTTGAAGGGACACAAGCATTCAAACCACCTATTTTTGTGAATAAAGTTTTATTGGAACACAGTCATGTCTTCATTTACAAAGTGTCTATGGCCACTTTCATGCCGTAACAGCCAAGATGAGTAAATGCAAGAGAGTGTATGACCTACAAAGTTTAAAATATTCCATTTGCTTGTTCTTTACAGTAAGAGTTTGCTGATGCCTAACGTATGAAATGATAAAACAGCATCAAGAGAAACCTTGTTTTGGAGGGACCATGGTGCTTATGGCGGTTACGCAGGCCGTGCGGTAATTTGCCAAATAACTTCACTTATATTCTTTGTCTTCTGCATCAGTGAATTTTTCCTCTCTGTTTTGATTTTGTTTCACTCTTTCGATTCAGTTTCTTAGTTGTTATGTGCTGATGTCAGGTGCTGGGCTGTCTGTTTCTTCCTATCCTTGATGCACTGGGAGCATCTCTTCTTAAGGTTCTTTAGCTTCCAATAAAACAGGGAGGGAGCAGACATCATTATCTCCCTGTCTCTGGCTTAATCTTAGACTCACCTGGAAGCAACAGTTTTGAAGCTTGATGTAGATTTATCCCTCCTTTCACTCAGCACCTTGAAGTATTTGAGTTTTCATAGCTTATGCTTGTTTGAAATTAATTATATATGGCTTCACTTGGAACATTTTAATAGCATCTTTGGTGTCTTTTTATTCCCCAGGGTTTCTTTTGACTGTTTAATTGACGAATCGTCTGGTAAAAAACCATTAGCATACAGTAGTTTTTTTCCTTTCTGATTTTGTTTCTCCTATCTAGATGAATGAAGTTGTGTGTGTGTGTGTGTGTGTGTGTGTGTGTGTGTCTTTCCTGAGGTAACATCTTAATTTTCTCTTCACCCTGCACATGGTGTCTGCATAGATTTCACTGCTCACCACCACCCCCTTGAGCATTTGAAATAGGGCTGTGTTGAGCAAAAGAGAGAGCACACAGAGGAAATAAACTACTCACAAATACAGCTGAGTGAGTAGGGGTGCCAGATGTACAGCTGAAAATGTGGGATGCCCCATTAAAATTGAATTTCAGATAATTTTTAGTATAAGTTATTCATAACTCAGAAGTCTGGCTTATCTAAGGCAATGTCTTCAAATTCTTGTATTCAGAACCTTTGGGGTAACTTCAAAACAGTACAAATGACCAGGGCATCCTAGAGATGTTGATTCAGTAGATCTGGGGTAAAGCATAAGCCTAATGCCAATAACTGAATGTTAAATTAAAGAAAATAAAAGCTCCTGGGTGATTATGATGTTCAGTCGGGTGTGTTACCCTTGATCTGCAAGGATAATTCCTTCCTCTGAAGCCTGGTCTTTGGCTACATAATAAAAAAGCTAATGAATAATAAACACATGCACAAGTAACCTGGATTAGAACCGTGCTTCTTAAAGTGTGGTCCCCAGGCCTGCATCAGCATCACCTGGCAACTTGTTAGAAATGCACATTCTCAGACTCCATCCCAGACCCACTGAATCAGAAACTCTGAGGGTTCAGTCTGTAGTTTATTTTTTTCCGTCTTCCTACCTTGATAGAAGCGCGAACTCTTTTCACAGTAGCATTCCAGCTGTTCTCTTTTTAAATCTCAGGCCGAATTTGTAGGTATTCAGGATAATTTGAAAATTATCTAGGTAATTTGGTGGGGACAGGTGACTTGGGGACCCTACTCTTCTGCCATCTTGCCCCCTCCTCCTCAGTCTGTAGTTTAATAAGACCTCCAGGTGTTTCTGATGCACATACAGGTTCAAGAACCACTGGGGCCATAGAAGTCCTTCCCAAATGTCTTCAGTAAATGGGTCCTTGGTTGCTGCATGAGATTCACTCAGGGAGCCTGCCAAAAAAAAAAAAAAAAGAAAGAAGAAAAGAAAGAAAGAAAGAAAGAAAAGAAAGAAAGAAAGAAAGAAAGAAAGAAAGAAAGAAAGTCACATTCTTTATATTAGAGTTGAGTGAGAAAATCTTTTTTTTTTTTTTTTTTTAAATCATGCGAGACAGAGAGAGAGGCAGTGACACAGGCGGAGGGAGAAGCAGGCTCCATGCAGGGAGCCAAATGTGGGACTTGATCCCAGGTCTCCAGGATCACGCCCTGGGCTGAAGGTGGCACTAAACCACTGAGCCACCGAGGGATCCCCGAGAAAATCTATTTTTTTTAACAAACTCCGGGGTGATTCTGGTACACAGCCACTTTGGGAATTACTAAACTAGAGAACAGAGACGGGAGTGACACTGGTGATCAGAAAGCCCAGATGCTAACACCTCACTTTTGAGTTCTAACATGAAAGCCCTATGCATTATAAATTGACTCTGGTGTCTCCAATGTAATTTAAAAACTAGAATCCAAGAAATCAGTCCCAGCATTAGTCCATTACACGAATTTTTTAGTCCATTGCAGGGCTCTGGAATGGTGGCCAAGTGTCCCAGACCTCAGACTGATTTGCCGCTAGTGAGCAAGAAGATGAAAAATACTTTGGTATCAAAATATCCAATGAGGGGGCACTTGGGTGGCTCAGTTGGTTAAGCACCAAGTCTTGATTTCAGCTCAGGTCCTGTTGTCAGGTCATGAGATCAAGCCCCTGAGTAGGGCTCCCTGCTCAGTGGGGAGTTTGCTTGAGATCTTTGCCTCTGCCCCTCCTGCTGTTCATTTCTCTCTCTCTCTCTCTCTCTCAGAAAAAAAGAAAAAAAAATCTTTAAAACAGAAAATATCCAGTGAGGGGCACCTTGGTGGCTCAGTGGTTGAGCGTCTGCTTTTAGGTCAGGGCGTGACCCTGGGGTCCTGGGATCGAGTCCCACATCAGGCTCCCTGCATGGAGCCTGCTTCTCCCTCTGCCTCTGCCTCTGTGTGTCTCATGAATAAATAAAATCTAAGATATATATGTGTCTCCAATGGGAACTGGAGTAGCAGCGGCAGGAAAGAGGATGTAGGTTTGTTATAAAAAAGAAAGGGGGATTAATCCACCCAGAGGGACAGCGGCTTCCGACGGAGGGCCGGGGGGCCGAGAGGGCCGGGGGGCGGGGGGGGGCGGGCCAAGGGGGCCAAAGGGGCCAAAGGGGCCGGGGGAGCCGAGGGGGCAAAGGGGGCCGGGGGGCCAAGAGGCCGAGGGGCAGGAGGGGGCCGGGGGCGGGCCAAGGGGGCCGGGGCAGGGGGGGGCGGGGGACCAGGGCGCAAGGGGGTGCTGGGGGGCCGAGGGAGGGGGGGGGCGAGGGGCTGACTGGGCCGCGGCTGCCCCATTTACCATCACCTCGAGGACCCCCCACAGCTGTGGGTGCAGGCACGGCCCCCACTAGCCCCCCCGCAGAGAAGGCCCCCCGCTAGCCCCCCTACTCCCCAGCAAAGAAGGCAGCCCCCCCCGCTACCCCCCGCAGAGAAGGCGGCCCCTCCCCCGCTTGGCCCCCCGCAGAGAAGTGGCCCCCCCCTGCTGTCCCCCCTCCCCCCAGCCCCTCCCCGTTGGGCCATGGGGGGGCGCCTGTGTCTGGAGCCGCGGGGGGGGCTCAGGACACACACCCCCCCCCGCAGGGCTTGCAGGACCGCGACCCCGGCCGGCGCGCGGGGACCTAGCCGGGCGCCCCCCCTGCCCCCCCTGCCCCCCCAGGCCGCTTGCTGTGCGCTGCGCATCCGCGGGGGGGGGGGGGGGCGGGGGCTTGCACACCTGCCGCGCTTCCCAGGAGACCCGCTTCCCTCCCCCGCCTCGGGGCCACGGAACAGGCACCGGGGGAGGAGGGGGGAGTGGGCCCGCCGCCGACTCCTGAGGTGCGTGGACCACCCGGGACCTGAGGACTGTGCTCCCAGCACCGGAGCCCCGAACCCTCCAGAAACACGCGGTTCTCCAAGTCTGCGGCTCGGTCCTGAGCAGATGGGACTCCCGGCTCCTGGGGTGAGCGGAGGCCCGAGGTGAGAACCCCTCAAGCCCGGGAAGCTTCGAGTGTTTTCCTCTGATGCTGCTCTTAGGTTGCTTGAGGCAGTCGGTGCCCGGACGGACGCAGTCCCACTCGGGGCACCCTCCCCAGGTCTGGGGGCC